GTAATTGTAAAAGAGGAATTGGAACCGATTAAATTCACATGAGTTTGAAACACTTTGACGAAGCACTCTTTTTTTTCTCCGTGCCAATTTAGCTCATTAAATAATGTTACCAGCTAACTGTTGCTCTTGGACTCATATTTAGAGGTGAACTACTGTTCCTACGCTGATAGTCAATAGATTAGACAAATGGTTGGCTCTTATTAAGAATTCTATGCTCAAATCTGTTAGGGATTTATGCAGAAGAGCACACCTAGCGGTGGAAAATATAATACATGTGATAATATTTAGTGATAGAATTGTAATTTGTGAGTTATTTAAAATTAGTTATAACATTAACATGTTATATTGATTACAATATTAATCAAACAACATATAGTCATGTATTACTGTACACATTAACATCCTGTCACAATGTAACATTAAATCTGAGGAAGTTAGTTAGTTAGTTGACTCTTTTTGACTTCTTGTCTCAGAAGGGGCGACGGTAACAGTAGTGATCCTTGATCAGAGGTTCAGAACTCCACAGATCAAAGAACCAAAGGAAGTTTAAAGACCATTATTTAATTAACAGTGAATCTTCGTTCCTCAAAATTAGCCTGAAAGTAAACTGAGTAATTACATGAATATGTTGGTATTTTTTTCAAAAAAGTGGTCTAGTATTTTGGATTTGATGCAATTGGTGGCGAAGATGTTAAAGTAAGCATACAGGTATGCCCAGATGTGAACATCTGCAACCTGTAAGACAGGTGATTGTCCTTGATGACTGTCAATGCTTTCAGACATGAAATGACTCTCTGTATCTGCTTCATTCAAATACTTGTTTGAATTCCCTACGACAGGAGAGGACTCGCTCACAGACGTGTGTAATAAATGGCTGTAATGACATTAGCTTGTCCATAAAAACACAGACTCAAACTCACACCATTGATATTAGAGTTCATTTTTAAATGAGTACTTGTCTTGTTTAATCTTTTTATTTCCTGTCAGAAAGTCATGAGATGAAATAAAATAGGAATGTGTCTTACCTGCAGCACGGCGCTCACCTAGAATCAGACGGTTGGATGTGGGTTTTAAAGTCACCTCTCTGATCCTGTCAATCATTTTATGTTGATCGATGGGACGGAGCATTCCTAAATGTGTGTGTGTGTGTGTGTGTGTGTGTGCCAAACAGAGACTGGACAGGGTGAGTTCATCTGGTTTGTTGAATAGACAATAAAGAAGAGAATCATGTTTCAGGAGTAAACCTACTTATAACAATGACTTATAAATAACTCATATAAGGTCTTTTTTCTACATCGTCAAACGGGTATTTCAATGGTTCAAACCATAAATTATGTGAAGAATGTTGAATATTTACAGAGCCCAAGGCAGCATCTTAAAATTGCTTTTATTGGTTAAACTCAACGTGAAAGTGGGTGACAACTTATCATTTGTCCCCATTATTCACAGCCATATTTTGACTAATCCTTGTTAATTTATTTACAGCCACAGTTCCAGTGTGATCTGAACCTTCAGACATTTATGATCCAGTTTGTGTTTAATGACAGTTCATATAACATCAGTATCAGTGATCAAAGTAATGTTCAGTACTTAACTTTAGCTATTCGGTGATTGATTTGTGCATTTCATCAGATAATCATTATCTCTTTTGGAACACACAGGGTATATGCTAAGAAACAGAGCCTGCAGGAGCCGATCTGTTCCCTCTATTTAAACACTGATAACGTCAGCAGGGAGTCTGGGGGCAAATAGGTTGCATAAAGTTATTTGTAATTGTATTAAATGTATGTGCTTAGCTTATATTGTCCTCAAAGCAGTTGCAGATAAAATCTCCATATCGACTGTTCTGTAACAAATGCAGGACTCGGTCACCGTATTTTAAAGCTTACATCGGCATCTAGTGGCTACTTTCCTCGATTAAAACCCCTAAATATGACAATCTGCTTGAACTCTCCTCTCGTTTCAGGTCACTTATCCTTTCCTCATGTGTCACCAGTTACCTGATTCCCGGTTGTGTCCACCTGTTCCCCATCGCCCTTGTTACGTTCCCCAGTTTTCTGTGTTTGGTGGCTTTGTTTTGTGCCTTGAGAGGTGATTGATTCCAGGAGCAGCAGTCCCCAGACTGGAGATCTGGCCCCACCCACTCGTCAGTGGCTGCACCTGGATTCCTTCCCTCGCAACACATAAAGTGGTGCCATTTTGTTAGGAAGCTCTCGCTCGTTGGGTGTGACTTGGAGTCTCTGTTAAATCTTGTTCTGTGTGCTTGTGAAATTTGTCATTTGTGTTTAATCCTGTTTTTTTTGTCTTTTGTTCCCAGGGAAAAGGGGAAGCACCTTGGGAGTGCGTAGGCAAGCTGCCCATGGGTCTACACCACCCGTAGTCATCCTCCTGTCTAGAAACACTAGGCAAGACCTGGGCGGACCACCCCCTGTATTTGGTTAGTGAGCCTTGCTAGTGCTCAGGCTAGGTTAGGGGGGGGTGTTTCAGGTCAGATAGGCAAGAGGGACTATTTAGTTTTGTTCATTGTTTTGGTTCCGCCCAGCCCCCTTTTCCCAAGCAACCCGTATTTATATATATATATATTAATAAACATTCCTTTTTACGGGCTATATGTGTCTGGTCGTCCGTGTACCTACACGCACCACACCTCTTTCCCCCATACCACATTGAGATGACGAGCGGCGGGTCGTTGCGTTCCCTCCTCCACGAGGCGTGCGTAACAAAGTGGGGGCTCGTCCGGGATCCAACTTGCTTGGTTCCCATCTGGCCCTGCTGCTCTGAGCTCTGTGGTTGGTGGTTAGGGTGTAGTAGTGGGGGTTGTGAATGGGAGTTTTGTATGTTCGGTAATAGTGTACATGATGGCTACTTCAGCCATCTCCAGTTTTGTTGATGTCCCCTCAGTCGCCGTTCCCGCTGGGCCGCCGCAGCGATCCCCCCCGTTCCCGCTAGGCCGCCGCAGCGATCCCCCCCGTTCCCGCTGGGCCGCGGCAGCGATCCCCCCCGTTCCCGCTGGGCCGCCGCAGCGATCCTCCCGTTCCCGCTGGGCCGCCGCAGCGATCCTCCCGTTCCCGCTGGGCCGCCGCAGCGATCCTCCCGTTCCCGCTGGGCCGCCGCAGCGATCCTCCCGTTCCCGCTGGGCCGCCGCAGCGATCCTCCCGTTCCCGCTGGGCCGCCGCAGCGATCCTCCCGTTCCCGCTGGGCCCGCCGCAGCGATCCTCCCGTTCCCGCTGGCCCGCCGCAGCGATCCTCCTCGTTCCCGCTGGGCCGCCGCAGCGATCCTCCCCTTCCCGCTGGGCCGCCGCAGCGATCCTCCCCTTTCCCGCTGGGCCGCCGCAGCGATCCCTCCTCTTCCCGCTGGGGCGCCGCAGCGATCCTTCCCCTTCCCGCTGGGCCCGCCGCAGCGATCCTCCCCTTTCCCGCTGGCCCGCCGCAGCGATCTCCCGTTCCGAGGCTCTCAGTCCCAGCCCCGACTCGGCCAGTCCCCGCTCCGAGACTCTCAGTCCCTGCCCCGAAGCCCCCAGCTATCGCGTGTTTAAGTACTGGGTTACGTTTGGTTGTTTTGTCGCAAACTGGAGGTTTGCTGTTTTTGGGGTGGGCGTGTTACGTTCCCCAGTTTTCTGTGTTTGGTGGCTTTGTTTTGTGCCTTGAGAGGTGATTGATTCCAGGAGCAGCAGTCCCCAGACTGGAGATCTGGCCCCACCCACTCGTCAGTGGCTGCACCTGGATTCCTTCCCTCGCAACACATAAAGTGGTGCCATTTTGTTAGGAAGCTCTCGCTCGTTGGGTGTGACTTGGAGTCTCTGTTAAATCTTGTTCTGTGTGCTTGTGAAATTTGTCATTTGTGTTTAATCCTGTTTTTTTTGTCTTTTGTTCCCAGGGAAAAGGGGAAGCACCTTGGGAGTGCGTAGGCAAGCTGCCCATGGGTCTACACCACCCGTAGTCATCCTCCTGTCTAGAAACACTAGGCAAGACCTGGGCGGACCACCCCCTGTATTTGGTTAGTGAGCCTTGCTAGTGCTCAGGCTAGGTTAGGGGGGGTGTTTCAGGTCAGATAGGCAAGAGGGACTATTTTGTTTTGTTCATTGTTTTGGTTCCGCCCAGCCCCCTTTTCCCAAGCAACCCGTATTTATATATATATATTAATAAACATTCCTTTTTACGGGCTATATGTGTCTGGTCGTCCGTGTACCTACACGCACCACACCTCTTTCCCCCATACCACATTGAGATGACGAGCGGCGGGTCGTTGCGTTCCCTCCTCCACGAGGCGTGCGTAACAGCCCTCCATGTGTACTAATAGTCTGCGTCTCCCTTTGTCCGGTGCCAGTGTCTTTGTTTCCGTCCTTGTGTCTTTGTGTTCGCTTCAGCCTCGCCGTAGTTTCTGAGCCTCTAAAACTACGTCATGGTGTTCTGCTCCGTTGTTTTTCCTCCAAGAGAGTAATTCTGATTTTGTATCATACCTTTAGGGTTATGGTTATTGTCTTCATCGTCCTTTGTTTCCTCCGTAAGGAGTGAAATTTGTTTTGATAATCTTTCATAGTGCCTCTAGTTTATTCTCTAGGTATTCTGATGAAGTTAAAAGCCTTTTTGTTTTCCTCCTCGAGTAGAGCCACTTTTGCTCCATCATTTTTATAGCCACACTTCTTCCTAAATTATTTATTGGTAGAAGCTAATCTAGATGTGATGGGTAGATCTCCCCCTCCCTCTACCTGTTGGGCCACACCCCTCTAATTAGC